CTTGGGAGGAATCAGGGCAGAGTTTTTTAGCTCCATTTCACAAGCAAGGAAACTGAATCTCTGATAGCGGGAGTGAATTTCCCAAGTGGACTAAGTGGATGTTTCAATGTGTGTCATCTATTAATCATTCAACAACTGTGTATGAAAAATCTGCTGCGTCTAAGACCTATGCTAAGCTCAATTAAAAAACAAATCAACCACCAAGCATTTAAGTACCTACTATGTGCTAAGCTCTGGAGATACAAAGGCTAAGGTACAGTCCCTGCCCTGAAAGAGCTCGAAGTTTAATGGGGGAGAAAACATGCAGAGAACTATGTACAAATAAGACAGATGCAGGATAAATTGGAGGTAATCGTAAGAGGGAAGACATAAGCATTAAAGGTTTTCTGTAAAAGGTGGGATTTTAGCTGAGACTGAAGGAAACCAGGAGGGGAGAGAATTCCTGGGATAGGAAAATGACACTTTGTTTTTAGGGTGTTGTCATTCTAGTGGGGAAGAGGAGGGAAAGGGGGTGTTAGGACCTGTACGCAGATAAGTATAATTCAAGGTAGAGAGGGATGGAGACAGAGGGGATCCAGAGTGAATGCCCTAGCCACTCTGGAGAGGAAGAGACCACTTCCAGCTGGTGTGTGTGTGTGTGTGTGTGTGTGTGTGTGTGTGTGTGAAGGCTACACAGAGATGTCCCTTGAGCTAATAATGGTGGGAAGAAAACGATGCTGAAATAGGAAGGTTCTGAAATGTGGAGGTGAGAAGGGAGGACAGTCCAAGCATGGGAGACAGCTGTGTAATTGCCTACAGTATCAGAATAGCATACCAGTTTGGAGAAACTATATTGGAATGGCACTTGAGGCCCCAAAAGTAACTGTTAGATTGGCCTCAAGCCATGGAAGGTTTAAAAGAGATTGCTTGAAACTCTTAAGTGAACACCCCCATTTAAGCCACCCCTTCCCCCCTCTGTAGGAGGCAGCTGGGTGGTACAGTGTCAGGAAGTCTCATCTTCCTGAGTTCAAATCTGTCCTCAGACACTTAACTAGCTGTGTGACCCTGAGCAAGTCACTTTACTCTGTCTCTCTCAGTTTCCTCATCTGTAAAATGAGCTGGAGAAGGAAATCACAAACCATTCCAGCATCTTTGTCAAGAAAACCACAAACAGAATCACAAAGAGTCAGACACAACTGCAATGACTGATCAACAACAATCCTCCTCCCCTCAGAGGTTCCTAGAGGCATTTGCTTGGATACACAGCATCCCTGAAATTTAAGAAAACTCTGATGCAACAACAAAGACAAAATTCCCATTTGGGAGATTCCCACCCACCCCTACCTATCCCCAGCTTCATTAAAAGAAATCCTATAAGCAACTATAATGTCTTCACTTGCTTGACAGCATTCCTGGCTTGTTCCTGCAAAGACCTCACCCTGGCGAAGATAGGAAATTTTACCAAGGCCTTGAAGGCCTGGGATATGTGCCACAGGCCATCTTAAAAGCAAGGCCAAGACCAGTCAAAGGGCCCCAAAACTCTCCCTGCAAAGGTCCACAGGTAGAGCTCCCAAAGGGAATATAAAGTAGCAATTAGGCCTGACCAAGCTCAGCAGATGGACGTGGTATCAGCCATGGCACAAACCCCAAAAGTGTGCTCCCTAGGGCAATAGCCTGGCCCATATCTGGTGACCACAGGGAACCATATTTTATCTTGCTAGAACTAGCCCATGGAGCTGTGGAGCATGTATCCTTGTAGATAGGGCTGGACCTCTGATTTCACTCACAGAGAGAACTCCCAGATGAGACCACTCTTCTACCAAGCAGGTTGGTATCCCTTCTGCCACGTACTGTTTTAGGATGTTGTCTAGAGTACCCAGAGTTAAAGGCAGGACTACAACCTAGGTCTTCCTGTCTCCATCTACTGCACCCTGCTTCCTTTCCTTGTAGATATCACTGAATAAAGATGGAACCAATGACTTCTAAGAGTATGAATGCATATAAGTGGTACGGGTGTGGGGGCGGGGGGAGGCGGAAAGTGAGGAGAGAGATGTTATTTCAATGCTATTAGGAAAGCAGTGATTTGCTTCTCAGCAAATCTCAACAATAGAGGGGACTGATCATCTTCATTTACCTAGAGGGAATAAATATAATTGTGCTTTACAGGACTTGCCTATTATCCAAGTGCTTTAACTTGACCTTTACCACCAAAAACAGGAAGTGCTGGTAGCCCAGTTCAAATCAGGAACTAAAGGCATGAATGAGAGTAACATGCTAAGTCTGGCAAGGCAATTTGGAACCACATGCTGGAAGGCCTTAAATGCCATGCTAAGGAGTTCTCATTTTGTCCTAGATGTAACAGGGAGCCAGTGAAGACTTTTTTAGCAGGACAATGACATGGTCAGACCTAAGCATTAAAACTATTATGTCTGCAATTGTTTGGAGGGAGGAGTAAAGTGGGAGAGACTAGAACCAGGGAGATTGTATCAGTCTAAAATATGCAAAGTGCTTTGCATATATTATCTTATTTAATCCACCCAACAACTTTGTATTATTATTTATTGCCATTTTTACAGTTGAGGAAATTGAGGCTGACAGAGGTTAAGAGACTTGCCCAGTCACATAGTAAATAGTTAAGGTAGGATTTGAATGAAGGTCTTCCTAGGGCCATCATGCATTCTATCTTCTACTTGTCAGACTGACGGGTTGTGGCCACTGATTTTATGTGGGTGGTTACGTAGAAGGAAGACTCAAAGATCATTTCAAACCTGAGGGCTGGGGGATGGAGAGTGGAAGAAGACAATGCATTCAATTTGTACATGTTAAGTTTGAGGAGCCAGGCAGGTATACAAAATAAAGAGGAAAGAGAGAAAAGAAGAGGGCTCAGCATCCACAATCTTGGGGAATGCCCACGCTTAGAGGATGAGAAGAAGAAAAGGATGAACCAGGTTTAGACGAGTAGGAGAGCTAGGAGATAGAAAGGTCACAGAAAACAAGGAAGGAGAGATTCTTTAGGAGGACTCTCTAGGTCCATAGTATCAGACACTGAAGAAAGATGGAGGGAGATGAAGTCTAAGGAAAGGTAATTGGCCTTACCAATTTAGAGAGCATTGGTGACCTTTAGGACAACTTCAGTTATTTCAGTACAGGGATGGAAAGGCCAGTGGTTGAGAATCGAATGCCTTGAGAAGTGATAAAGTAAAAACAAGGAGTATTAATTACTTCCCCTCCTCACTCAGAGTTTGTTTTTGAAATGGAATATTGGCATCAGAGACAGGAAGAAAGGAAAAGTACAAAGATTTGGAATATTTCCCGGGGGGATGAGTGTGGAATACGTGATGAGAAATTGATGAGATGAGGAAAAGGTTTACTCTGCAATAGTGGGAACTTAGCTGAGATCAGATCTGCTATGACCTGAAGTCTTGGAAGATCCATAGTTGACAACCTGCATGAGCATAGGACTTCTTCCAGAAGTGTGATCAGTACTTTGGAGTAAAGATGGTGGGTGGCGGGCCTTTCCAAGGAAAGAAGTGGTCTACCTGAGGTCGCACAGTTAGTAGTTGTCAGGGCTGAGCCTCTGGCCAAGACCATCTGAAATCAAGCCCAGTACTCTGTACTCTGTGCTACACTACCCTTGCAGATGCTAAGGTCAGGACCCATACCAAAGCGTAGATGAGGAAGCAGAAAAGAAAGAAGCTAGGTGGCTCAGTGGCAGAGAATCACAGTGATGAGAAGAATCTTAGAGATCCCCTAGTCTGACACTCATCTGAAGCAAAACATCCTTCCTATAATAACTCTAACCAGGTCTTCCAGGGACAGAGAGCAGAGCCAACCTCTGACAAGTCAGGGAGATTATTCCTTTTTTAGAAATTTTCCAAAGACCCTCCGCCAAGAAAGATTCCATTTCCTACAAACTAGGGAGCCTGGAATCAGGAAGACCTGAGTTCAGATCTGGCCTCAGATTCTTGCTAGCTGTGTTGACCCTGGGTAAGTCACTTCATTACTCTTTGCCTCAGTTTCTTCTTTTGTAAAAGCATAATAACAGCACCTACCTCCAAGGGTTATCATAAGATCAAATGAGATAATATTTGTAGAGCATTTGGCAAAACTTAAAACACTACTAGTTATCATTTCTAGGCCCTATAACAGATGAAATCCATATATATATTTACTTGGCAGGTAACATGAAGTCCAAATTCACCTCTTTACCTGCACATTTATCCCACCCTTCCAAAGCCATTCTCTGAGGCTCCTGGAGGTTTGCCTACATCTCATATTTCCTAAACTGGAGAAAACTAGAAATGACAATTCTTCTCTTTCTTAAATGCTTCCATAACCTTTTGGGGCTAGGAGGTCCCAGGATAAGAAAAGAGAAGCAACCGGTATGGCTGGCTATGTCTAGATGGGAATATGTTGTGACTAATAATGCAAGTCTGACTGTGTTTTTATAATCTCTTTTAGCTCTGAGTGTTTATGGTTACTACTCATTAAATAAAGAAACAAACCCTTTCTTGCAAGAAACATAACACTTTCTCCAGAATATGACCTAGGGGTTTGAGGTCAATCTGTCTCCGGTATAATAATCTGAAGAGTGACTAGTTGGTTTCTGCTTTAAGATCCCTAATAAGACCCATATGTACAAAAACATTGAAAGTAGCTCTGTTTGTAGTAGCAAAAAACTAGAAACTTAGACGGTGTCCACCTGTTGGGGAATGGCTAAACAAATTATGGTTAAGTATATGGAATAGAATATTATTGCATCATGAGAAATCATGAAATGGGTAGATTCAGAGGACACAGGAAAGAACTGACTCAGAGTGAAGTGAACAAAACCAGAACAACGTATATGACAACATTATAGGCATATCTTGGAGGTGTGGCCGGTTTGGTTACAGACTATCACAATAAAACAGATCACATTAATTTTTTTGTTTCCCAGTACATATAAAAGTTATGTTTACCCTATACTGTGGTCTATTAAGTGTGCAATAGTATTATGTCTAAAAAAAAAGCAATGTACATGCTTTAATTAAAAAATACTTTATTACTTTAAAAAATGCTATCATCTCAGCCTTCAGTGACTCCCAATCTTTTTGCTGGTGGAGGGTCTTGCCTTGATGTTGATGGCTGCTGGCTGATCAGCGTGGTGGTTGCTGAAGGCTGAAGTGGCCTTGATAATTTCTTAAAATAAGATGGCAATGGAGTTTGACTGATCAGCAATTGACTCTCCCTTGCACTTGAACACTTAGAGGCCATTGTCGGTTCATTAATTGGCCTAATTTCAATATTGTCGTGTCTCAGAGAAGAGGGAGGCCTGAGGAGAGAGACAGAAATGATCAGTGGAGCAGTCAGAACGCACATAATATTTATCTACTAAGTTCACTATCTTAGATAGGTGTGGTTAATGGTCCCCCAAAACAATTACAATAGTAATATCAAAGATCACTGAATTCCACGGAGAAGCATGGACTTGACTCACCATCTATGTGTTAAGTGCCATGGGAGAGGGACAAAGTTCTGTGGTATTTAAAGGGAGAAGTTTTCCCTTCCAGAGGGTCAGGGAAGCCTTCATGAGGAGGCAGGTTTGGAACTGAGGGGATTTGATAGCCAGTATGGGCACTTCGTTCCACAGGTGGGAAGGTCACTATCAAAGACCAGAGGAGCTGTCTACTTTTCCTGTGTCTACTTTCTCAACACCTACTTTCTTCTTTAATCTCTTGGACCCTGGCCTCCCCACCCCACCACTGTGCTGAAATGGCTCTCTCCAAAGGTACCAATGATGGCTTTAGGGTAAATATAATGGTCTTTATCCTGAGAGTCCTAGAATCCCAATGACGGCAAAAATCTTAGAGATCTCATTTGACACCTATCTGAAGCAAAAATCCTCCCTGTAACAACTCTTACCAGGCCCTACAGGGACAGAGGGCAGAGTGACACTCTGGCAAGTCATAGCAATTGTTCTCTTCTCAGAAATTTGCCAAGGGCTCTCCACCGAGAGACATTCTAGTCCCTACAGACAGGGAATTTGGTTCTCTTGACTATCACCTCCCCCATCACCATGCACCAAACTGGATATAGGTCTTCTCTCACTAGCTTTTAGCGCCTGAGCTTTGGAAATCTATAATCTTTGAAAAGTTCTGGGTCTCATAGAAAGACATAGAGTTGGAGTCAGAGGATGGAGCTCAAGACCCACCGCTGCTACTTATTGGCCATGGAGGAATAGTCCCTTCATTTCTCAAGGCCTCAGTTTCCTCAGCTGTCAAAGAAAGCAGTTGGACTAGATGACTTTTCAAGTCTCTTTCATTCTAACATTCTATTTTCTAAGGTCCTTTTCCAGTGGCAACATTATATGATCTAAGATCCAATATTTCCTATTCAAAATTCCCTTTCAGCTTTCCCTTTCCATGTTCTAACACTTTGGCTTTCCAAACAGCCTCTCAGCTCTAACATTCTTTGAAATCCCTCCATCTTCCCCGATACAACACTCTGCTCTTGAGGAACATAGGGGGTACAACCATTTCACTTGTGGAGACACAAGCGTGTCCAATCTTTTTTTTTTTTTAATCAACTGTTGCTTCCATTCATTATCCCAGGCTTCCACGCTCCTGAGTGAGCCAAGGTTTCATACCGATCATGTGTCCCAGCCAAACTCTAGCACCCAGATTACACCTTTTATCAGGGTGTAATCCTGCTGTTTCCCCAAGGCTAGGGTGTGGGAGACTTCTTTCTTCTTCATGCAGGCCTCACCCATCCTTCGATATTTGTACCTGCCTGGCATTGAACAAGGCTGCTAATGGCCCTGTCACCCCTAATGCTTATTAATCACAGTTTTCTTGTTTCTATTATGGGGGTTGTTACTTTTCTCCAGAAGCCGAAAAATTGTTTGCTTAAAGGATTACTACTGAGAATTCGTGACTATTCAGGGATCAGAAATCACTGCAAAAGGGGAGAGGTGCAGCCAGTGAATTGCTTCCTGTCAGACTCTGTTGACAGATTGAGTTTGTGGATTGTCAATGTGCCAGGTTTCTTGTAGTGATTTTATAAATCTCAGGCAAAGTTTTGTCCCAAGATTTTTATGAAAGATGGTTTGTGTGCATGTTCTGATGGCCCAGTCCCCTATGACAAACAAATACATAGATCTACTCAATACCTTTCCCTGTGGCCCCAGTCCCACTAGATGCTAGACATCTTCACTGGGATGTGTTGCCAGTAACTACAGCTCTACATGTCCCAAAGTGAACTCGTTGCCTTTCCTCTAAACCCATCCCTCTTGTCTACTTCTTCCAATCTCAGATTCATTTTTGACTCCTCCTTCTCTGTGACTCCCCCAACATCAACCAGTCGACAAGTTTACTGTTTGTAGCCATTCACTCCTCTATAGTTTCATGGCCAATATTCTGATCTAGATCCTCATTACCTCTTGCCTGGACTATTATAATGGCTTCCTAAGCAGTCTCTCTACCCTCTGATCCCAGCTGCCAATATTTTCTTCCTCATTTATGCTTCTGACCCTGTCACTCTCTTGCTCAAACACCCTCACTGACTCCCTATTTCCAAACCAAACTCTTCAGCCTTGCCCCCTAACACCTGGTCTTTATCTACCTTTCCATTCTATCTTTCACTGCTCTGTTCCTTGGACTGTATGCTCCAAAAAAAAGGATCTACTTAGCATTCCATACATTAGTCCTGCTTGTGCCTTGGCTCACAATTGTGCCCTGTGCCTAGAAAGGGCCTCACTTCCAACCCCGATTTCAATTTGCTCTTCTTTGAGGTTCACCTCCTTTGAGGGATAGCTCTTTGACAAAGCCATCCCTGTTCCCTAAGCCAAAAGTGACCTCTCTTGCTTGGAATCTTTAATCACATTCTAATTTGTATTACATTCATCTGTGCATCCAGGCTCTGTCCCTTCTCCCACCCCACCCCAGACTATTTAGGGAAGGTCTTATTGATGTCCCACTGGCACTTCAAAGTCAACATGTCCCAAGCCAAGCCTGTTATTTTCTTCCCCTGCAGCAAACCTGCTCTTCCTTCTGGCATTACTGCTTCTGTGAGTGGCCGTATCATTGTTCTCTGCCCTCCAACTTGAGGTTTATCTATGGCTCTTCCCTGTCCCTCATCTCTCATATATACTTAGTTACCAAGGTTTGCATTCCCATGTCTGAAACAGCTCTCATATCCATCCCCTTCTCTCTATCCCCACTGCCTCCACTTTAGGACAAGATATCATTAAACTTACTTGTATTATTAATAAGGGCCTCTTATTAGGTCTAGGGAGCAGCAAGGTGGCACAGTGGGTAGAGCCCCAGGCCTGGAGTCAGGAAGACTCGTCTTCCCGAATTCAAATCCAGCCTCAGACACTTACCAGTTGTGTGACCTGGGCAAGTTTCTTAAGCCTCAGTTTCTTCATCTGTAAAATGAAGAGAGAAGGAAATGGTAAACCACTTTAGTATCTTTGCCAAGAAAATATCAAATGGAGTCACAAAGAGTAGGATGCAACTTAGCAACAATTAAGCCCTCTTATTCTCTACCTCTGGAGACCCAACCAAAATTATCTTCTTTATTCTTAAACCTATTCATATTTTTCCTCTGCTCGGAAACCTTCAGATGCTCCCTCATGCCTACTTAGTAAAGTTCAAAATCTTTAACCTAGCATTTCAGGCCTTCCCATAATCTGGGGCCACCCTGCTATTAATAATCATCATAGTGAACATTTGCATAACTCTTTAATGTTTGCAGAACACTTTACAAAATTATCTCATTTGATCCTCACAACAACCCTGGAAGGTAGATGCTATTATTATCCCCATTTTACAGTTGAGGAAACTGAGACAAACAGAGGCTAAAATGATTTGGCCAAGACCACCCAATTAGTATGTGTCTGAGGCTACATTTAAGCTCAAGGTCTTCCTGACTCCAGGTCCAGAACTCTATCCACTGAGCCAAAATAAATAATTAAATAAATAAGAAAGAGAGAGAGAGAGAGAGAGAGAGAGAGAGAGAGAGAGAGAGAGAGAGAGAGAGAAAGAGAGAGAGAGAAGAAGAATAAAAAGAGGAAAGAAGGAAGGAAGGAAGGAAGGCAAAGAAAGAGAAAGAAAGGACAGAAGGAAGGAAGGAAAGAAAAAGAAAGACAGAAGGAAGGAAGGAAGGAAAGAGGAGAAAGAAAGAAAGAAAGAAAGAAAGAAAGAAAGAAAGAAAGAAAGAAAGAAAGAAAGAAAGAAAGGAAGAAAGGAAGAAAGGAAGAAAGAAAGAAAGAAAGGAAGAAAGAAAGAAAAGAAGGAAGAAAGAAAGAAAGAAAGGAAGAAAGAAAGAAAAGAAGGAAGAAATGAAGGAAAGAAGGAAGGAAAGAGAAAGAAAGAAGGAAAGAAAGAGAAAATCAAGCAGTGACTGGATGACCACTTGTCAGGTATGCAGGAATTTCTTTCCAGGATGACTTGAACTAAACAGCATTGGAGATCCCTTCTAACTCTCAGATTCTGTGATTGTGTGACCATGATTGGTGGCAGGGTTGAAAGAGTACGGGTAAAGATCTTAAAATAAAAAAGAGCATTTCTGGTTAGCCCCTAAGAGATGGAAAGACTATCTAGTCTGGCCTTATTTTACAGAGGAAAAGTATGTCACATGATAGAGTCAGTAACTGAATGATCTGAGTCCAGCTCCAGGTTCCTTCTGTGGAGCCTGTGTCCTTCCCATAGTGTTTGCACTTCTCTTTTATCCTCAAGCGCTCTGATGTTTTACAGTTGTCTGTGCTTGTGATCCATTCCCCTTACCGGATTGGGAGCACCATATTGGCAGAGACTGGGGCTTTGCTGAACTTTGTCTCTCCCTTCAGCAGGGCATCATGGTCCAAGCACGTTACATGCCTAACAGGTGCCTGAGAACCAACTTCTTATGATTCAGTTGCTCCAGTTCCACGTATTGCCAGCAGCTTTGCAAGTCCTCACCATCCTCCTCCCTTTGACTTCTGTAAGGTATGTACCATGTTCTCTGGAAAGGAGATATAGGAAAATAAATAAATATGGGTGTTTTCTAGTTTCATCTTGGCACCTGTGATCCCAAACCATTTACCTGGAAGCTTAACATGAATCAGTTTCTCTCTCTCTCTCTCTCTCTCTCTCTCTCTCTCTCTCTTCTCTCTCTCTCTCTCTCTCTCTCTCTCTCTCTCTCTCTCTCTCTCTCTCTCTCAATGTGTGTGTTTCTCTCCCTCTCTCTCTCCATGCTTAATGGACAGGGCTTGTCTCTGTTAACCCATCTGCCAACAAGTTTTTACAGAGTACCTACCATGTGTCATGTCTCACACCTACCTCTGGTGTGCAAGAGACAAGAGGAGAAGCAGAAAGAAACTCAGATCTTGCCCTTGGGAGGGGGGCTCCCAGTCTACATAGGGAGAGAACAACTTAGCCAAAGTCTCATTATTTACAGACCAATCTCACTTGTAGGAAGAAGGTAGCTACCCCTCTCTGGATAAAATTCAGTCTATTATCTCATCATCAGAAACATTCATTAAATCTAATTGCCCTGGCCCAAGGGATGGGAAAACACAGGGAACAGTACAGGATAGTGAGTCACCAAGGGCTGGACTGTGTGGAACATATCGTGAGCGTTGTAAGCATGGGAAGTCTCTCTGACTCTCGTTTCAGTTTCCGGTGGGGAATTGGGCAAAGCTCTGCAAGTCCCGCCTGAACCTTTTTCAGTCTAGCTCCCAAAATGATCTACATGACAACCAGGACTATTACAAGGGCTAAAAAGAATTTCAGCTGAGTTTCACCCAGCTGTTTTGTAATTTTGAGAAGTGTCAGGGGCAGCTAGGTGGCACAGTGGATAGAGCACCAGCCCTGAAATCACGAGGACCTGAGTTCAAATCCAGCCTCAGACCAAACACTTGACACTTACTAGCTGTGTGACCCTGGGCAGGTCACTTAACCCCAATTGCCTAAAAATTTAAAAAAAATTTAAAAAAATGGGGGCAGCTAGATGGTGCAGTGGATAGAGCACCGACCCTGGATTCAGGAGGAACTGAGTTCAAATACGGCATCAGACACATAACACTTACTAGCTGTGTGACCCTGAACAAGTCACCTAACCCCACTGCTTAGCCAAAAAAAAAAAAAGAGAGAGAGAAGTGTCTCTGATATTTGGAGGGGACCAAGTTCCTGATACTCAGATATTAAAGGAATTAAAAGGAATTTTGAACAGACACTCTGTAAAGGTTTAAGCTAAGGAACCTACCTGCTCCCACCCCCCCCACCCTGTGTCATTCAAAATTTTTATCAATGACTCAGATGAAGACAAAGATTTATTGAACCTGTAGATATTGCAGAACTGGGAGGGATAGCTGATGTGTCGGATAGCAGTCAGAATCGCAGTATCTCAAGGTAAGTGGGTGGATATTGCATAGGTAGGTATGTTGGAAGCTAGCAGGAGAGTGGATAGTGTAATGGACCTGGTGTCAGGAAGACCCAAGTTCAAATCTAGCCTCAGATCCTCAGTAGCAAGTTGAGTAACCCCTCTCTTCCTTAGTTTCCTCATCAGTAAAATGAGGATCATAATAGAATCTGCTTCCCAAGGTTGTTTTTTAAAATTAATTAATTTATTTTTAGTTTTCAACATTCACTTCCACAAGATTTTGAGTTCCAAATTTTCTCCCTATCCCTCCCCTCCCCACCCCATAATGATGTGCATTCTGAATATTCCTTCCCCTACTCTGCCCTCCCTTGTATCTCCTCCCCTTCTCTTATGCCCTTCCCCTTCTATTTTCCTGTAGGACAGGATACATTTCTATACCCCATTGCCTGTATATCTTATGTCCCAGTTGCATGTGAAAACAATTTTTAACATTTGTTTTTAAAACTTTGGGTTCCAAATTTTCTCCCTTCCTCCCTCCCCACCCACCCTCACTGAGAAGGCAAGCAACTAGATACAGTTTATACATGTGTAGTCATGAAAAACACTTCCATAGTAGTCATGTTGTAAAAAACTAACTATATTTCCCTTCATCTTATCCCACCCCCCATTTATTCTATTCTGTCTTTTGACCCTGCCCCTCCTCAGAAATGTTTGCTTCTGATTACTCCCTCCACCAATCTGCCCTCACTTCTATCGTCCCCCCAATGTCTTATGCCATTCCCTCCTATTTTCCTGTAGGGAAAGATAGATTTCCATACCCAACTGAATGTGTATGTTATTCCCTCCTTAAGCCAAATCCAATGAGAATAAGATTCACTCATTCCCTCTCACCTTCTCCCACTTCCTCTCCACTGTAAAAGTCTTTTCTTGTTTGTTTTATGTGACATAGTTTATCTCATTATACCGCTCCCTTTCTCCTTCTCCAAGTATAATCCATTCTCACTCCTTAATTTTATTCTCCAGATATCACACCTTCATCTTCAACTCACCCTGTGCAATCTATCTATCTATCTATCTATCTATCTATCTATCTATTTATCATCTGTCGTCTATCTATCCATACATACATATAATTTTTCCCCCTCCAACTACCCTAATATTGACAAAGGTCTCATGAGTTACAAATATCATCTTTCCATGCAGGAATATAAACAGTTCAACCTTAATAAGTCCCTTATGATTCCTCTTTCCCATTTACCTCTTTATGCTTCTCTTGAGTCTCATATTTGAAAGTCAAATTTTCTATTCAGCTCTGGTCTTTTCATCAATAATGCTTGGAAGTCATCTATTTCACTGAATGTCTATTTTTCCCCTGAAGGATTATACTCAGTTTTGCTGGGTGGGTGATTCTTGGCTGTAATCCTATCTCCTTTGCCCTCCAGAATATTACATTCCAAGCCCTCCAATCCCTTAATGTAGAAGCTGCTAACTCTTGTGTTATCCTGATTGTGTTTCCACAATACTTGAATTGTTTCTTTCTGGCTGCTTGTAATATTTTCTCCTTGACCTGGGAACTCTGCAATTTGGTTAAAATATTCCTAGTTTTCCTTTGGGGATCTCTTTTAGGAGGCGATTGATGGTTTCTATCAATTTCTATTTTGCCCTCTGGTTCTAGAATGTCAGGGCAGTTTTCCCAGATAATTTCTTGAAAGATGATGTCTAGGGTTTTTTTTTTTATCATAGCTTTCAGATAGTTCAATAATTTTAAAATTATCTCTCCTGGATCTGTTTTCCATGTCAATTGTTTTTCCAATGAGATATTTCACATTGTTTTCTATTTTTTTGTTTTTCTGGTTTTGTTTTACAATGTCTTGATTTCTCATAAATTCACTAGCTTCCATTTGCTCCATTCTAATTTTTAAAGAAGTATTTTCTTCAGTGAGCTTTTGGACTTCCTTTTCCATTTGGCCAGTTCTGCTTTTTAAGACAATTTTCTCCTCATTGGCTTTTTGGACCCCTTTTGCCATTTTGGGTTAGGCTATTTTTTTAAGGTGTTATTTTCTTTGGTATGTTTTGGGTCAACTTTAGCAAGCTGCTGACTTGTTTTTTATGGTTTTCTTGCATCACTCTCATTTCTCTTCCCAGTTTTTCCTTTTACTTCTCTTACTTGCTTCTCAAAATCCTTTTTGAGCTCTTCCATGACCTGGGACCAATTCATATTTTTCTTGGAGGCTTTAGATGTAGGAGCTTTGACTTTGTTATCTTTTTCTGATTGTATGTTTGGATCTTCTTTGTCATCAAAGAAAGATTCTATGGTCTGACTTTTTTTTCCCTCTGTTTGCTCATGATCCCAGACAACTACTTGAGTTATAAACTCTTTGTTAAGGTAGGGTTCTGCTTTCAGTGTGGAGAATGTGCTGTCCCAAGCTTCAGGGGTTTTGTGCAGCTGTTTTCAGAGATACTTCTAGGGACCTGAAAATTTTCGGTTCTTCCAAGGTGATATGATAAGGGGTGAGGTGTTTACACCTCTCCTGGACTGGGCTCTGGTCTATGAGTGACCACAAGCACTCTTTTTTGCCTTGTGACTATGAGGAGGATTTTCTCTGTACAGCCACTACAAGCTCCACCACACCAGTGCTCCTCCTCACCCCAGGACCACCACCCAGAGCTGTGACCTATATCCAAGCACGGACAAAGCAATACATTCCTGTCTCAGCACCAGCAAAGAGATCTCTGCAATTCCCCTATGATCAGCCACTCAATTCCCCCTCTGTCTGTGGGCTGAGAGCTCTGGAAGCATCTGCCACCCCAGGGCTACGCCAGGACTAGGGCTGGGCCCTAGCTTCTTTCTCACCATAGTCACAGATTTTTCCTAGTGACCTTCTAAGTTGTCTTTGGCTTTTGTGGGTTGAGAAGTCTGGAAACCACCATAGATGCCTGCGATTCAGTCCCCTGAGGCCTGCTCCAGGTTTGTTGAGGCCTGGTCTTTGCCTGTGTGCCCACACTGAACTACATTCCTCTCCTAGCCCAGTGCAATAGACCTTTCCATTCAACCATCCAGGTTGACTTGGGCTGGAAATTTGTTTCACTCTTTCTTTTTGTGCTCCTCTAGAATTTTTTTGGAGCCATTTTTTATAGGTATTTGGAGGGGTTTGGGGGAGAGCTCAAGCAAATCACCGCTTTTCCTCCGCTCCCTCCCCCAAGGTTGTTTTAAGGATAAAACAAGATAATATTTGTAAAGTTCTATATATGTCATGGCTATTGTTATCACTGTGTGATTGCCCTATATGGGAAGACCTAAGATATTGATTTTGGTTAACTTTTTCTTTTTCTCTTTTTTTTTTTTGCCTAAGCCATGGGGTTAAGTGACTTGCCTAGGGTCACACAGCTAGTAACTGTTATGTGTCTGAGGCCAGATTTGAACTCAGGTCCTTCTGAATCCAGGGCCAGTGCTCTATCTACTACTCCACCTAGCTGCCCCTGGTTAACTTTTTCTTACAAGGAACTTTCAGGAGATAAAAAAACAAAAACAAAGCAAAAAAAACCCCAAACAAACAAACAAACAAGAAAAAAAGAAAAGATATCAGTAAAAGTTGTTTGTTTGCTTTTTTTAAAGACTACCAGCTACTAAAGCAGTGTACCCATTAGCACCATGATAAATTAAGGTCTGTTTTAAACCACAGAACAGACCTGCATAAGAAACCTACCATGAGAGAAACAGCCCATCATTCTCATCATTTATTAAATGTTTAAAAGTAAAAGGATTTTAAGTTGTTGTTGCTGTTGTTTTTTTAGTGAGGCAACTGGGTTTAAGTGACTTGCCCAGAGTCACACAGCTAGAAGTATTATGTGTCTGAGGTCGGATTTGAACTCAGATCCTCCTGAATCCAGGGCCGGTGCTCTATCCACTGCACCACCTAGCTGCCCCAAAAGGATATTAGGTTAACACCCTTTAAACACCAAAACCAAAACACTAAGATCTCAGTGAGCTAGCGAATTGGTTCGAATCAGTTAGAGTAAAATTTGATACTGATAGATAAAAGTCTTGAATTAAGGCTAGATGTTAATGACTGGCCTTGACTTACTGTATTCTTCCCTCCAGGGGGACTGGCCCTTTTAATCAGCAGCATTGGGAGAGCTACCCCATGACAGGATACAGCAATCTGTGGGATTTGGGTACTGAGTCAGGCTGCCTAAGTGCACAAAAAGAACTCCTTCTAAAGATAAAACCAGCCCTGCCCTGCCCTGTACTGCCCCAGAAAAGTGAAAAGAGCTCTGAGCCTGGAGTCAGGTAGACCCAAGTTCAAATTCAGCCTCAGACACTTACTAGCTCTGTGACCCTGGGCAAGCCACTTGACCTCTCTCTACCTTAGTTTCCTCACCTGTGAAATGGGGATCATAATAGCACCTACATCCCAGGTTTATTGTGAGGTTCAAATAGGTAACATACAGAATGTCCTTGGTGTTTAATACATTCTTGTTCCATTCCCTTCTATCCCACTGATCTCTGACTAGAACAAAAACCCTCTTTATACTATTCCCAACAAGTCATCTGGGCTTGCTTACAGTATGTCCAATGACAGGAAGCTTCCTATGTCTGGAGGTGGTCCATCCCACTTTTGGAAGACTTATCTTCTTGCTCTGTTTTTCTTTTAAAAGCAAAAAAAACATTTTTTAAAAAAGACCAAGATTTCAGTGAGCTAAAAAATACAATTGTCCAAATGTTTAAGGGGGAGGAACTGGATCTCTGAATTTGGGAACACCAGATGAAGAAGCTCTTTCTACCAGGGCAGGTCAGCACTGTCTCTATAAGTTATGGTCTTAGAGAGTGGCCCAAAGTTCTGAGAGATTAAGTGATTTGGTCAGAAGTAGGACTTGAACCCAGGTTTTCTTGGGTCTAAGACCAGCTTTCTATACCCACTATGCCTTGCTGCCTCTGTTATGACAAAATTTAATAGGGGGAGATGTGAAGTTCTGCATTTGAGTCACATGTTAATGACTGATCATGGCTTACTATAGGCTCCCTCCTAAAGGTACAGGCCCTTTAAAGTCCAAATTTTGGAATTTGAAATGTAACCAAAAAATAAATTAAATTTTAACAAAAGTCAAAATCTGTCTCTCTGAAATTTCTATTCACTGCTCTTCATTGTTCATTCTGGACTGAGCAGAACAAATCTATATTCTCACTTCTACGTAGACTTTCAAATACTTGGTAAAAACTTGACTAATATGGAAGTATTTTGCATGACTGCACATGTATAATCAATATCAAATTGCTTGCATTCTCAAGGATGGTGGAGCGGAGGAAGAGAAGGGGAGAATTTGGAACTCAAAATTTAAAAAAACAAATGTTAAAAAATTTTCTATTTGAGAAAAAAATAAAAATTCGATGTAAAAAATGGCAAAAGCTATCATCTCTTCCCAATTCATAGGATTATAAAATTTATAGAAGAACCTTATCAGACATCTAGTTCTCCCCTCCCCTCCTTCATTGTGCAGCTGAAAGAAACCTGAAATCTAGAAGGGGAAAGGGAAGAAGTAGCAATAGCACACAGTCTCACAGGATATCAGCTGCAGAGCTGAGATTTGAAGCCAGATCCTTTGACTTTAGATATGGTGCTCTTTCCAATATTCTTTGGTTGTTTCTCCTCACTAAGCCACACATCCCCATTTCCTTCAACTGGGGCAATCATCCAGCTTAGTCTTCTCAGGCCACTTTGTCCAGAGTCCCCTAAGACTTGACAGAGAACTAGAAACAATACTCCAGATGCAGATTTAGCACAGAACCTGGAGAAGGTGACCCCTGAGCAGGAGTGCACTGATAAAAATTTAATGACTGGCTCTACAAAAGGACCAGTCTGCACTGGACGTACTTTTAAGTTTAATTTGCATTATTAACGCTTCATTGTTTCCTTAAGTCCAAATGATCAGCAAAGCAGTGTCAAGCCCTGATGTGTAGGGTTTTTCCTAGATGTGAATGCTCACACTGGAAATTTACCAGTCTGCTCAGATTTGAGCTGGTTCAAGCATATCCTGAGTGTCTAGTCGCACACAGGCCCTTGCTGATGAATGCCTTCTCTTCCCCTCTGTCTATAGTCAGGGAGAATATTCCCAATAGATGCTAGTCTTTGGACCTTGTCCCCTATAGCTCTGGAGCACTGTATGATCTCTCTCAGGGTTCAGCCCCAGATAGGTTCTGCCCTGCCCCCATCCTCTCCTTATATAACTTTTAGAAATCACCCGGAATGCTCTCTCTTTACAAAGCCGTAATCCCTTTAAACTGACATAAATCAATTAATGAATTCCCTGGCAGAGTCCAGCATCTCTATTTTCTGTCCCCACCTTCCCCTGGAGTAAGACCCACACCCAGAGCAGGGAGGGTATTTGGGGGGTGGGGGAGGGGTGGAAGGTATGATGAAACTCCTGGCTTCCTAATTCATTTTTAGGCTCACATAATATTCAAAGACTTGGAGCTGGGAAGGACCCTGAAGATCACCTAGGGCAGCTCCTTCATTTTACAGTGAGGGGAAACTAAGGCTCAGTGAGGTCCCTTGACTTTGTCCAGGTCACACAGGTAATACCAGAGTTGAGATCTGAGTGTTAGGATGTCTGGCTAGTTTAGCGGAAAGAGCCTGGGTTGGGAGTTAGTGGACTGGATTTCACATCTAGGCTCTGCCCTTTACTCCTTGTGAAATTTTTAGTCTTTTCTACTCCCTGTGCCCTTCCATGCTGGACCGTCCTTTAAGGAATCAAAGATCTTTCTGAGGCTTCTGGGATGTTCCCCTTCTACCTCTGCACTCTCCTGTCCTGGGGTAAGGGTAAGTCAGTAATAGTCGTACACCCTGAGGATGGCCTCTGGGAGCACCAAGAACCTCTTTTCTTTTGACAGAAGAAATCAAGCTAGGTCCTTCTCTCCAAGGGGTACTCCACGACCAAGAAAGACAGTCTAGTTAAAGCCAGTTTAGGAGCCCTTTCTAGGCTGAGAGCTTCTGACCACATCTCTAGCCCATCCTCTGCTTAGTTCAGGTCATTGTCTCTCAAAGATCCCTGAGAATCTTCTCTCTCTCTCTCTCTCTCTCTCTCTCTCTCTCTCTCTCTCTGTCTCTCTCTCTCTGTCTCTCTCTCTCTGTCTCTCTCTCTCTGTCTTTCTCTCTCTCCCCCAAGCCATCTTCAAGCTGCCATACCCTTGTTGCCCATCTCTGACCAGGAACTCAAGCTCCCATTTTGGAATCCTGATCTTCTGATCTGTGAGAATTCTTCTTATCTTGCCAAAACTCCAGGACTGGCATGCTGCTTCTTGTCTACCTTCAGATTATGTTGTTGTGGATATACCTTCTTCTCTCCTCTACCTTCTCCAACTTGCTTTCCAACTCTAGCTCTGAGAACACTACCATTCCTGTAGAGGACACATCAGTTATTTGCTCTAAGATTCTAATCACCATCCCTCCTACTTCCCTGGTCAAAACACTCCTCCCTGGCCACCACTGCCCCATTTGTATTTTCTTTCTCTGTTAGAATGCAAGTGTCTGAAGGCAAGGACTATTCTGCTTTCTTATATCCCCAACAATTAACACAGTGCCTGGCATATAATAAACATAAAATGGTTTTTTGTTCATTCATTCATTCTGATCTACTTTTCCTTCAGGGAGACAGAGTAACAGAGTTCAGTCTCTCACTTTCTCTCTCTCTCTCTCTCTGTTTTGTCTCTATCCACTTCTGTCCCTCTGTCTCTGTCTCCTTCTGTCTCTGTCTCTACATTTCTATCTTTCTCTGCCTCTCTCTGCCTCTATCTCTCTCCCCAATCCTATTCTTTTGCCCTTCTTCCATGGACCCTTAGTCATTGAAATTGTTTCCTTTTGGGGGACTTTTCCATATTTTATTCTGTAGATTTTGCCTTTGGAGTGATAATGCTGGCCTCTGACCTAGTAAGATCTCTTCTTCCATAGAAAGTTCTGCAGACTGAAGCTTGCCCAAAGAAGGACAGATAAAATAGTAACTCACATTTCTATCGAACATTAAGGTTTATCAAGCACTTTCTTCAATAATAATTCTATGAGGCAAGTTAGTATGATTATTTTTATCCCCATTTTAAGATGAGAAAATTATGATTCAAGAGAGGTGACAGTCATACTTGCCCAGTGTCATGTAGCTAATAAATGCCTGAGGTGGAATTTGTGCCCAGCTCCCTCTGACTCCAAGTCCAAAATGCCACCCACACTACCTCTCCTATCCTGCCATATGAAGAGCAGTTGAGAAAACTGAGCCTATTTAGATTAAAGAAGACAAGGCCCAATGGGACCATAGTAGCTATCAAATATTTGGCTGACTGTCACTTGGAAGAAGACTTACATTTGTTCTAATTGAACCCAGAGTCCAGAACAAGACTTAGCCATCATACCTCAGTTGACTCTGTGCTCTGTTCCCGAGGGCTCCTTCTCCAATTGGTGGGTTAGTCCCAGAACTTTCATTTTGGGAAAGAATCTCAGACCAGCTATCCCTCATTCTCTAAATTTGGCCGCCATGGTTTGGCTGCCTCTTGGCTCCGTTCTCCTCCGCTTTACTCACTGGTAGATTGTCTCTGGAACCTCCATTTTTGGGAGAGGTTCCAGAACATCCTTCATTCTCTAGATTTGGCCACCAAATATCTTCTCTCCTTACTCCCCCCGCCCCAGATCTTCAGCTCCCATTTTATGTATTATCTTTCCCCCATTAGAATGCAAGCTCTTTGAGGGCAGGGAACTTTCTGTCTTTTTACTTGTATTTGAATCCCCAGCCACAGTGCCTGACACATAGCTAGACACTTAATAAATACTTATTTATAGACTTGGTGAAAGTCACAATGAAGAAAACTTAGGTTTATATCAGGAAATATGTCCTAAAAAGTATAACTATCCAAGAATGGAATGAGCTACCTAGAGAGGTGATGAATTCCCCATTACTGGATGTATTTAAGTAAAGACTGGGTGACTGCTTGTCATAGATCTTGTAGAAGGGGATATTCTTGTCCTAATTTGTCACCGAAGGCCTCTGAAGTTCCCCTCAGTTCTGAGGCTGTACAATTCTCTGTGACTGTGAGGAGGTCCTCACTTTTGGTTCTGTGCTAACAAAGGGCTGACTGCAGCCCTCCCCAGAACCAGCAAAAAGTCCTGCTGTTGCTTGTACTTCCTCATCTCACAGGGAGATAAAACTCACACCTAGGAGAAATTTTATAACCACATGAGACACTGCCCAATGAGATAGAGACAATTGTACCATGTGAGGTGTAACCTTTACTCGGGTCTATGAGGCAGATTTGTACAAGAGGTCCAGAATTCAGAGTGATTCTGCAGTTAGAAAGGTTGTTGTGAAATAGCTCACATTTCTGCCCCCAGTTAAAGAGCAAAACTCTCTAACAATGGCCTGGGGTTGAACGTCTAGCGCTGTGCTAGGAAAGGTCCCTCTCCTCTCTATGGCTCCCATTACCCTCTCACGCCATAAACAAAGGGACACCAGCAACATAAGGACAGGATTAACCACAGGTGTTTATGAAAAATAATATTAAATTCAACAAATATATTCTTTAACACAATTTAAGAAAATGAAAACTTATGTAAGGCTGAGGCAGGATAGGGCTTACCTGTTGTTTCTTTTAGCACACTTGGCTGCTTTTTTCTTTCTGGGCATCTGGGTGAGAAAGCACCAGAGATAAAAGATACACAATCACATGTTCTTGCTGTGTTATTCATTCAAATGGCAGTTATCTCTCAGGGGCTTACAAAAGGGACCTACAGATGTAGCAGGCACCTGACGCTGCTCTGGTCTCTTGTAGACCAGAATAGCAGCAGTCACGGGACAAACAACACTCCTCACTTGTCTTTTGTGGCCAGCCAGCACTTGGCCAAAGGTTATTACAGAGGAAAACACACACACACACACACCACACACACACACACACACACACACACCCCACACACACACATACAAGCTGAGGGCAATGCAGTCTATTGAAGGAGACCAAGGTTAGGAGTTAGAAAAAGAAAAGCTAGTTGCATATCCTGATTGTGCCAGTAAATCTGTATGATTTCAGTCAGTCACTTTCTTTCTCTGGGTTTTCATTTTCTTTCTATAAAATGAGGAGAGTAGGATTAAAGCAAAGAGTCTTAACCCTTTTTGTGTCTTGGACCCTTTTGGTGAAGCCTATGGACCCCTTTTCAAAATAATGCTTTTAAGTGTATAAAATAAGATACATAGTATCACCCCCCAAAAAAACCCCCATAACTTTATTACATTAAAATACAGTTATCAAAATATATTTTAAAAAGTCAAATTCGCAGATTCCAGGTTAAGAACCCTGGTAGGTGATTTTGAAGATCTTATGCAATTCTCAAGAGTCTGAATTTAGAAGGGAGAGATTCCTGTCATCTGGGGAAAATCGGATAAAGCCTCCAGGAAAAAATAAGATTTGAAATGGTCTTTGAGAATGCAGAGCTCATGAACAGTTGAAGAGATGGAAGTGGAGAGTGGAGAAAGAGATTCTTTTAGGTAGGACAATTCGATGGCAATAAGGAACCTAAAGGTATCCAGGAAATATAGAGGAAACCATTATCAAGGATCTAAGGAAGTATGGGAGAAAAGAATGGAGAGATGGTAGACCTTTCAGGGGTCAGAGAGACGTTGAATTCTCTCATGAGCTCAAAAGGATGACCCAAATCTCTCCAATGTCAAAGAATCACTGAGTCCTAGAAAGTTAATTCATCTATTCAATAAACATTTATTAAGCACCAACTGTGTCTAATGCACTATGCTAGGACCTAGGAGAGATCCACAGTTTAAATAATGAGAACCTTGTTTTCCTGAATCTAACAGTCTTATAGAGGGTAAGAAACACATAACTCCAATCCTGGAAAGCACATGATTTGGTTAAGTACCCTAAAAATACAAGCGTTTATTCAGGGCTTTTCCGTGGCAGGAATTGAGCTAAACTGTGGAAATACAAATCGAAGCAGAAAGAAAAACAGTCTTTTGCCCTCAAGGAACTTATATTCTAATGCGAGAAGATAGGAGCTGAAAAAAGAAGGTAAAGAAAAGAGATAAAGGTAACTGGCATGGGGGCATGGTAGGGAAAGTCCAGAGAGTCAGGAGAATAGTTTGTAGGAATGAAGACATGGTTGGCCTAAGCCTTCTCCTTAAAATAGAGGTTCTGGGAGTAACTTGAGGGAGAGGCCACAGGGGCGTCAGAGGGTATTTCAGGGCAAGGGGTAGTAAGCTTCCGGGCTGAAGAGTTTCTATGACATCATGGAGAAAGTCCAGGGAGTTAAAATCCGGTCTCAGACCAGACACTTGACACTTACTAGCTGTGTGACCCTGGGCAAGTCACTTAACCCTGATTGCCTCACCAAAAAGCAAAAAAAAAAAATGTCCAGGGAGTCTGGTGAACAGCCAGGACAGGAATGAAGATGATAAATTAAGTATATTAGAAAGAGGGCAAAGTGTTATGTGAGTTTCTTTCAATGACTCTCCTAGAACTAACATGCCAGAGTTGGAAAGTATCTTAGAGTCCATCTCAGCTCATCCCCTTATTTAAAGATAGGAAAACTGAAGGCCGAGAGGAGAAGTGATTTGCCCAATGTCACACATTAGTGGCCAAGCCAGAACCTGGGTTTCCTGGTTTCTTGCGCAGTCCAACTCCATTTAGCTACCTATGATCTCTAGAGTAAAATATAAATTCCTTTGTTTGGCTTTGAAAGCCTTTCTACAACCTGGCTCCAATCTATCTATCTATCCAGCCTCATTATACAATATTTCCATTCCTGAATTGTACTGTTCGACCAAACTGGTCTTTCTGATGATCACATGTTCTTCCACCTCCTACTTTCATACCTTGCATTGACTATCCTCTGTGCCTGGAATACGTTCCCTCTTCATCTCTGCTTCATAGTGTCCCTTTCTGCTTTCAAGATTCAGATCAAGCACCTTCTACTGAAAGCCTTTCATGATTGCCCCTAACTGTTGGTGTCCCTCCATAGCAACCTTGAATTTAACTGACTTGTGTTTATTTTGCCTTTATTTTATATGTATATATTTGTTCTGTATATATGGGTGGGGTTGTTTCATTCTCTGTCTTTATATCCTCAGCACCTAGCTCATTGGCACATAATAGGTACTTAGTAAATGCTTCTAGCTAGGTGCTACTCTGGATAGAGCACTGGACATGGAGTCAGGAAGACCTGTGATCAAATCTGGCCTCAGAATCTTACTAGATGTGTGACCTGGACGAATCACTGAACCTCTATTTGCCTCAGTTTCCTCATTTGTAAAATGGGGATAATAATAGTCCCTAGTTCGTAGGGTTGCTGTAAGGATCAAATGAGGTATTTATAAAGCACTTAGCAAAATGCCTGGCATGTAGTAGGTACTATATAAATGCTGACTATTAAGATGATGGTAGTCATCATCATCATTACTATCATCATCATCACCATCAGAATCATCATCATCATCATCACCATTGTCATCAACATCATCACCACTGACTCCATGGTAGGACACGTTGGGGACCTGGGGTGGGGGACACCAATAAGGTGTGGGTTGAAGGGTTCTTAACTCAGCGTGGTGGTCCTCTTCAGGGCAGGGAAGGCCAATCACAAAAAGGGAGTAAGACCAGCTAGGAAAGCAAATTCTCTGGGAAGCAGAAATAGAAGAGAATGACCCTGAACTGTGTGGCTTAGTGAGTCAGCATGAGTATCACTGAGCAAGTCGAAGGTAGGGGTAAAAAAAGATGAGATTGTGCAAGAGATGTGGGGGCTGAAGGAAAAAAACAGAGGCATTCAGAGACGTTCATTCTTTTCCTATGTAATCTTGTATCAGAGGATCTCTTGTGACACCAAGGTCCCAGGTGCATTTTGGGGATCTTACTTCCTAGCTCATTGTCCTTATCCGTATGATCTGGAAACCTCAATGTCTGACAATGAAGAAGGTGCTGGAGTCAGCTGGAACTAGCCGATCGTTCAGTGTTCAGTTCAAGCATTGACACCCCGCAAATCTTCAAATCAGGGTTTGCTTTATGTTTTTATTGATTTGTCTAGACTTAAGAAGGTGACAGAGAGAATGTTAGTAATGAAGATTACACATAAAAGTGTGTCCTGTGTATATTTTTATTCTAGAAAGCCACTTGTTAAAACTTTATCAGCATTCTCCTGCTGACAACCTTCTTTGCACCTGCCCCACCCCACCCTTCACCTGCAAAGGCTAGCTTTCGATTCCCCTTACAAGTGCATAAGTACTCAAGGTACAAAAAAGTTAAGTCCTATGAACAGTTTTATTTTAAAAACTAGTGAAAGCAGCTAAGATTCACCTCTAATCCTATGAAAGCAATACCTACAGGTAAGCAGTGCTCTCTACACCCTCAGAGACCTGTACAGGAGCACTGCCCTGGGTATATCTGCAACAGGAGCCAACAAGGCTTTGCTCCTCCACACCAGTGCTCCCTTCCGTAACCCCTGTGTACAGGCAGCATTGCTCTCATCCAGCTACTCTCGGAGGCTGTCACCCTATTGCTGTCCCTTGCCGCTGATCTCCACTGATCTGCTGCAGCTCTTCTCAGCTCCAAGGTCATTTTACCAAGGACCCCATTCACCACCCTCCAAAGTTCTGTGGTCTCTTCAGTCACCATTTCTCTTTCCCAGGGAACCAACCTTCTAACAATTGACCTGTACAGGAGAAATACTTTGGGTGTGATTGGCAGCCCAAAAAACATACTTCCATTTTTCTCAAGCTTTTTTTTTTTTCATACTAGTCCTCACAGACCCAGGTTAATATTACAGAGACATCGAGGTGGAACAGTGGATAGACTCCTGGAATCAAAAAGTCCTGAATTCAAACTCTGCCTCACACAGGAACCAACTGAATGACCCTGAGTAAGTCACTTAACTTCTCTCCACCTGCTTCCCCATTTGTAAAATAGGGATAATAAAAGCATCTACCTTCCCAGGTTGGTGTTTGGCTCAAATCAAAGAGATAATATTTGTAATGCTTTGCAAACTTTAATTGACATTTAACCAATGAGTAAAGCATTTATTAAGTCCCTGCCATGTGCAAAGCACTGTATTAAACCCTGGGGACAGACACAAATAGAAAAGACAACCCTTGCCTTTGAGAAACTCACATTCTAATGGGGGAGAGAACACATATGGAAGGCTTTAGCTGCAGGTCAGGTGGAACTGTTCCAAGGTCCTTAGATTGTCCTTAGGGTGCAGCAACAAAGCAGACCATATACCTTTTCTTTAATGTCACTTCCACTGATTAAATCATATCAGTTCCTAATGCTGAATCATCAAAAATTGGGCTGGTAACATTGCTATTCTTAAGGCTCTTGGGCTTGGGGTCCTGGGCTGTCTTCATCAGAGTCTCAAGGGAAATGGCAGTTGAGATGGTAGTTTACTCACCTGTTACATGCTGCTTCCTGTATCTTCCTCAGGGTACCTTTCTGCTTCAACTAGTTTGACTTGCTTTCCTGGTCCAACTCAGTTTTCTCAACTATAAAATGGGGATCATAATAGCTCCCCTCTTAGGTATCATAATATCTACCTCCCAGGGATGTTGTGAGCATCAAATGAGATTATATTTGTAAAGTGCTTAGCAGAGTGCCTGGCACATAGTAGGTACTTTAATAAATGCTTGTTCCCTTCCCCCTTCCCCCCCCCATGGCGATTGACTGGCAGTTGATGGGATCAGTCCCTTGACAATGTCTATTAGGGATGGGCTGGAAGCAGAACTTTTCCGATGTTGCTACTCTTGTACTTAACCACTTGTTGGTGGAAGTTGGCCAACAGTTGTTGCTGGTGGT